TTGTTGATTCTCGTTCTCTTTTCCTTACGATAGTTCCTTCTCTCTTCGTTCTCGCTCTCTTGAATTTGGATTCGATTTAACGGCCACACACATTCGTCTTGTACCAAGAAACTAGGCCCTTGCCACCAGTAATTCATGGATACTAACTTAGATAGTGTAACACCTCTTGTTACCAAATCCGCAGGATTCTCTTCAGAAGGAATATGACGCCATTGATTAGGATTGGTTAGAGTTTGAATTTCACCAACACGGTTAGCAATAAATACTTGAAACTTTCGGCTGGGATTGCGTATCCACCAAAGAACGTTCATACTGTCCGACCAATAAGTGACATGATCAGGCTTCACCCTAAGGACGTCAATGATGGAATTCGTTAACCTCGCTCCCAACACTGCAGCCATTAACTCGAGACGTGGGATGCTCGTTGCTTTGAGAGGTGCAACTTTTGTCTTCGCAGCGATCAGCCGGCAGGATTGTTTTCCACTGTAATAAACAACTTTTGCATACACTACCGCTCCATAGGCTTCTTGGGACGCATCAACAAACGTGTGTAAGGAGAACGAAAGAACTTGTTCTTCTTTCCCCAATCGTAGACATCTTGGTATCTTAACTTTCGCCAAATTGTCTAATTGCTTGAACCACGTCTCTGCTTTCGAAACTAAGTCGTTATCATGGATTTCATCATCCCAATCAAGTCCTCGTGTCCATATCTCTTGAAGAATAATCTTCGCTTGGATGATAAATGGTGCAAGAAACCCCATAGGATCGAAAAGAGACGCCATTTTCTTGAGGAAATTACGTTTCGTAGGCGGAAGATCATTCTTATACGACAGTCCGTTAAAGGTGAAGGAATCTTCGTCCGCTAACCATTGCAATCCAAGTGTTTTAACAGTTGGCAAATCGCTCGGTTTATCTAAAGAAACATTCGTTGCTCGTTTCTCTTCTGGGATGTGTTCCAACACCGCTACGGAATTCGAAAGCCATTTGTGCGGATACATGTCAGCTTTCTCGTACAATTCGCTTAACTGACGATACAGCTCGATACCTCGTGCGTCTGTCGCAACTGAATCCATGCTGTCGTCCATGAAAGTGGATTCGTTGACCGTGTCCGCTGCCATTGGATAGATATTCTCCAATGTCTTAGCATATTGTTGGACCACGTACTGCGCTTGAAAAGGTGATGAATTTATTCCGAATACAACGCGATTGAATTCGTACTCATCTGGAATTTTATCTTCGTCCATTGAACGCCAAAGGAAACGCTGATACTTTCGATCCTGTGGAGCAACTTCTATTCGAAGATACATTTCAGCGATGTCGCAGATAAGGGCAACTGGATGCTCTCGAAAACGAATTAGAATGTTAAACAAATCTCTCTGTAGCTTCGGGCCTTGGTAAATTTCGTCGTTCAGAGAAACTCCGTCATCTTTCGCTGATGCATCGAATACGATTCGGGTTTTAGTTGTTGGTTTGTCTGGACGTAGTACAGGAAAGTGAGGTAAATACCAAGCTTCGAGTGGTCGTTTTTCCGTCTCTTCCACCTTTCGAATATACTCTTTCTGAATATAGCGTTCAATTATGTCCGAATAGACTCCCACTAATTCTATGTTCCTCTTGAGACGTTTCTCGGTATTCTGTAGTCTTCGAAATGCCATACCGTAATTGTTTGAGACTGTGGGCTCACTACGTTTCCAAGGAATCGCTACTTGATATCTTCCATTTTCATACTTGAGCGATTGTTCCACTTTCTGCAATGCTAGATGGTCTTCTTTCTGCCAAGGTCCACTCTCAATCGAGACAACATTTTCATTTTCCCAGAACTTACGAAGCACTGCATCAACTTCATCTAACTTGTGATCCTTTCGCGTAAAATAAGTCCGGTTGAAGTTAGTTAGCTGACATAACTGATCATCTTGTGGGACTCCAATGCATGTCCATCCAAGTGGTGTAAGCCTGGCAATTGGCTCGTTCACTTGACCTCGAACATCTTTTACGGAATAATGAAGGTCTGCGTAATCAAGACCGATGAGAATATCCACAAAAGGCTTCGATGCAATAACTGGAAACTCAATATCCTTAAGATGACTCCACTTTGTCGCATACTGATTCCAATTTACAACCTTCATGTCACCAGTTACTTTTTCGGTTGTGTAAGCTTCCATAGTAGTGTTGACTTTTCCATCCAGACTTTCCAGTTTGAACTCAACAGGCATCGTCAGAAATGTTTCTATTTGACCATTCAAGACATTCACGTTGGTCCTCTGAAGATTTCCGTGAAGTCCTAACTCAGCGGCTACATCAGCATTTATATACGTCTTCGTATTAGCATCATCTAATAAAGTATTCACTGTCATTTTACGATTCCCATTTATTAGTATAACTGGAACTGTCCGCATTGCAAGGAACTCTTGTCGTTGTGATATCTTCGACTCGACTCGCGTAGTAAGGGATCTCTCAACCTCTGTAGGATGCTCCCCTTCCGTGGTAGGAAGAGTTTGAGTGGCTTGAGAAATAGATCTCCCATTTCTTGGTAATCTTTCGCAATTTTCGCGTTGATTGCTCTCCATTTCTTTCCTTTCAGTTTGAGGATATCCATGTAACAATCTGTTATGAGTTTTTGTACAACCATCGACACCGCAACATCTACTTTTCGTACATTTACTGCCAGTATGAACTTCGCTCAAGCATCGATAAATATCGACAAATTCCTCCAAGTCTTTTGAATTCCCTGGACGAATGGCTTTAACATTTTCGAGCTCTTCTAAGTAAAGAGCAACTTGTCGCCGCGTACCGCCGTACTTTCTGTCCAATCTTTCTTTGGCAGCTTCATAAGCGATTGCAGAATGCCCAAATTTCTCAACTGTTTTTAATGCTTCCCCAGATAAATACTGTCGAAGTTGTAAGAGTTTATACTCTGGGCTTGCTGGGGCTTGATCGATGCACGCTATGAAAGTCGCTTTCCAGTTCTCGTAGTTACGTTTGTCGCCTGAAAATACTGGTATAGATACTCGTTTTAATTGTCTCCACAAATCGTTGCAAATCGTGTTCTGTTCAACTTTTGTTGTCGATTTGTGATACGGTGTGCTTTGAAATTGTTTAACGAAACGAACTGGTTCTTGGTGTAACATAGTCTTTTGTTGCTCATCTACTAATTGGCCTCCACGGGCATTGCTTGACTCGGTTTTGAACTCGACTTGATTTTGCTCGAATTCTCTCGTACTGCTCTGTGATATACAACTCGATGAATCATCCAAGGTATTATCAAAGTAAACTTGAACGCGATTCTGTGCATCTGTAAATTCCATTTCAAGTTTTTCTATCTCTTCTGTAGTTTTTTTTAAAGCGCTTCTGTCCGTTGTGCTCGAATACTCGCATGCTAATGCGTCAATTGCTGCAAAAGCTTGCTCTTGTTTCTCGTTTAACTTTCGTCGTATTTCCCGAATCTGCTTTCGATTTGGGCACTCTTCTTCGTCGAGCAAGTTCAGTAATTGATTTCTTGCCTTTGTAAAAGCTGTCTTTGCTCTTGCTTTTTGATATTTTAACTCTTGAAGGCGATTCTCCGCTTCATCAGATTCATCTGGTTCGACAAATAATTGTTGTAAACCCGCTGTTAACTCTGTAGTTGGCTGTTCGAATTCATTATCGCCAGCCATTTTCGATTAAATTACACGATGTGGACCATTTCCTGCTACCAATTTGGTTCGAAGTCGAAATTATCTTTTAACTTTATTTATCTATATACGAATCGTATCAATCTTAATTTTTACATACACTAACTGTTTACTAGTTCGCCTGGCTATATATAAGTCCAATCTACATATTTATGCACTATTAATTGTCATTGTTCACGCGATAATAAGGTTGCGAAATAAGGTCAAGGTTACTTCTGAACATCCTCACATTGAGGAACCTTGTCCTCACTGTCAGGAACCTTGTTCTCAGCGTCAGGAACCTTGTCGTCAGCGTCAGGAACATTGTCTTCACCGTCAGGAACCTTGTCCTCACCGTCAGGAACCTTGTCCTCACAGTCAGAATCCTTGTCGTCAGCGCCAGGAACCTTGTCCTCAGCGTCAGGAACCTTGTCCTTAGCGTCAGGAACCTTGTCCTCACCGTCTGGAACTTTGTCCTCAGCGTCAGAAACCTTGTTCTCAGCGTCAGGAACCTTGTTCTCACCGTCAGGAACCTTGTCTTCACCGTCAGGAACCTTGTCCTCACCGTCAGGAACCTTGTCCTCAGCGTCAGGAACCTTGTCCTCAGCGTCAGGAACCTTGTCCTCAGCGTCAGGAACCTTGTCCTCCGCGTCAGGAACCTTGTCGTCAGCGTCAGGAACCTTGTCGTCAGCGTCAGGAACCTTGTCCTCACAGTCAGGAACCTTGTCCTCACAGTCAGGAACCTTCTCCTCAGCGTCAGGAACCTTGTCCTCAGCGTCAGGAACCTTGTCCTCAGAGTCAGGCATTGTCCTCAGCGTCAGGAACCGTGTCCTCGGCGTCAGGAACCTTGTCCTCGGCGTCAGGAACCTTGTCCTTGGCGTCAGGAACCTTGTCCTCAGCGTCAGGAACGTTGTCCTCAGCGTCAGGAACCTGGTGCTCAGCGTCAGGAACCTCGCGAAAGGCCTCCGAAGTTTTTACTCTTGTGCAATCGACTGAGATCATATAAATTTGATTATCGCGTATCATGTTTATTATGACTATTATAAAATAGATCGAAATAAACAAAGCAAAATCACAGTTCACGAAGCAGACATCCTTAATTCTCATTTCACGGAGCATTTTTATCAACAATCATGCCTCACGGCTATAGAACAAATCACATTTCACGACACTAAAATCAAGCATGTCACGTTTCACGCGAACAAATATTGACCATTCACGGCTCACGAAGATACCCTTCTCCCCCCTCCGATTGATTTTTATGGATAATTATTTCCATATGGTTGTAACTGAAGGACACTGTCGCAAGTTAATTTCGTACCCAGGGATCGTACAAGCAGCTGGCGACAGTTTAAAAAAAGACCTTTGTCCCCCAAATTTGTCTCCCCACTCATTACAATACTGCAAAGTTTCTTAGAAACTTTACAGTACTGTGATCAGTGGGGAAAATTCAAACGAATCATTCATTCGTTCATTCATTCATTCAGTCATAGTGTAAACTTTCCGGGGGGTGTATACAATTTATGTTAGCAGTGATTTATTGTACTTAGTCAGTGCTTTGAAGGTTATTTAGGCAATTTCAGTTGTCTTATTTAAATATTCTTTTTTCCTTTTTCAAAGTTTACAAAAATTTCTAGGAATCCTTGTCGTTATTGTAATTTTTAAAATTTTTATAACATTAGCTTCTCATGTTGTGTAAAGGATCTTTACCCCGGAACATCCGATTTTTTCTTTAGCAGCGCAAATGCGCATGCGCTATAAAGCCGCAGATCACGATGGCGTGACAATGCTAGGAAGGAGCGGCACAGTGTTGTTTCAAATGTATAAACTTTCAGACGTGAATATCGAGTAAATCTTTGAAAATCTATGCGACATACTGTATAAATTGATGTTGTGCATTACGGGTGCTCGAGTTCCAGATATATATGGAGAATAAAGTAAAACATACACCTTTTTAAGTTTATGAATATATTTACTGGATTTTACAATATTTTTTCTAGTATGTATGATTAAATATACATTCCATGATTTATAATTAAATTGCTTGTCTGCTATAAAGATGCTGTAAAGTTCGTAATGTAAACAAACGCTTTGTTTACACTTTCAACTCAGTGGTACAGTTGTAAAATATGATTAGATATATATTAAAGTGCCTATATACTTGCGGGACCTTTTGGATTTGAAAAGAGCATAAAAAGTTAGTTAATAAGTTCAAAAGATTTTTTCGATTTAGTGGAATAATTTTGAAGTTACAGTCCTCTAAAGTACCTACAGTTCCTGAGTCCCAGGCTCCTATGCACAATGGACAGTTTCGAAAAAGGCCAAATTCTATAGCCGTGTTTAGATCCCAGAAAGCTGCGACTCAGGAACAGTCCGTTGTTTAAAGGCCTGTATCCTCAAAACTATTGCATTAAATCAAAAAAATCTTGTGAACCTATTAACTAACTTTTTAATATCTTTTCAAATCCATAAAAGTCCCACAAGTGATATAGGCACTTTAACACTCTTCTGGTTCGCTATGCTTGTAAATGAATACAGAGTAGAGATTCATTTCAAGAAAGTACAGAAGGTGCAAAATATTAATAACACTCCAATGGTCGGGTCTCCACCATTGGAATGTAGGCCTGCGCAGAACGTATGCGCAGAACGGACTTTACAGCATCTTTAATATTAATTATGTTATAAATAATCATTTATAAGATTTGTTTTGTCATACACATGTTCTGAGTGGTCAAAATTAATGTTGGAATGAGCATACTCTAATAATAACAATCCTATTACACTTAGGGGCACCTTCACCGGTCACCCGGCTGGCTTTCGAATGTTTGGTCAATTTTGGCAAATTTTCCTTCACAAGTTTTGTTGCTCGCGTGCACGGAATGTTGTTAAACATTTATCTCACGTCAAGGTAGCCTGCATGGCAGGCAGGCGGTCCCTAAAATCGGGCAAACCTGGGATTTTAGACCGCCTGCCATGCAGGCTAACGTCAAGGCCGCCTTTTGTTTGCCAAAACCAGAGAAATATTTCTTGCACATTTGTTGTCTAGTTTTCCGAAAAGAATTTCCTTGTCCAAAAGCAGGCACGACTAGTTATGGAACAATTTCCTTGGCAAGGAAAACTTGTCCATTTTTTGCCGTACACACGAGCAAATAAAATTGGTCAAGGAAAAATTGCCCGTCTGTACAGGGCTTAAGTGCTTAACATGGCTTAATAAAGGCTACAACCCCAGACAATGGATGATTCCAGCTATAGACTAAATTTTGATCTAGACAAGAAGAACAAAATCCTTCACCACAGCTCGAAAAAGCATGTTAAAATTAGTAAAATGACAAAGTTTGGCCGCGAAATGTTGTAAAATACGGAAAATATAGCACTGAGAAATTTTGTATTAAGAGGCATGCATTTTTTCAATGTCACATATTTGCAAAGAAAAGTGTTCAAAACCTAAAATATTTTTGGCGTTCCTCTCAAAATTACTTTGTTTTAGATTTATTCTCTAGTTTATAGAGTTAGCAACCTTTTTAAACGTATCTGCCGGTTGAGAAACATAAATAAAAAATTGTCAATTTAAATACATTTATCATTGATATTGTAAAATTGACGCCATATTTATACAGCAATGTAAGGTGGTGCATTTTCCCTTGCATAATACAATTTAATACAAAATTTGCAAATTTCGTAGGGCTATATTTTGTTCTTCTTGCCTAGATCAAAATTTAGTCTATAGGCAGCTGGAATCATCTATTCTGTTGACCAAATTATATATGCACAAATTTTCTCATAGGTTTTATTTTGTAGGTTCCATTCGTTTCAAAATACCATGATTGGAATTTTCGTGTACATCATCAGTCAATATAATTTATTATATTAATCACAATAATTCTACTTAATATCGAGATTTCAATTTCTAAACTAACCTAATCTAATCGTCATCAAACGTTGGGGACCATCTGTCTAGAGCGTCCAATGATTGTTCAGCAAGTTTAGTTGCTTGGACGTCGTTTGCAAGCGAGTCGTCAAATGCTGCGTTGGAGGAAGACTTACTGCTTTCACCATCAGCAAAATCTACAATAAATTACCAAATATGAAATTAGTTTTGCTTCAAGTATATAGCTACTGCATGCATACATGGGTGTTATTATAGACTTATTTGGAGGCTGTGACTTTGCATTCAAATACGACACTAAAAGGAAAAGTCAAATGGCGAGTTTTTGTTCATCCGATGTTTAATTACATGACAAAATTACAGAATTCTGATTGGTTGAGAGGAGTGCAATGATTTTAGTACTCTACACTAGTGCTAGGTCGGAAGTCTTCACAGGTATGTGATTCAGAAGGGATCAAATTATTTATGCAATATGAAATAAGATCTTCGATAAAAATATCATTTTCAAGGTTGAACGTCAACTACAACTTATTAACTATATGCTACAACAAAAACTGCAAGTCTAGTATACAGTAGTATGAAAACGATATTTGCATTTAGTCGTTCATTTCGAAGTCGAGCGACATATTGATTATTGGTATTGCATTGTCCCATATGAAGGGACAAATTTCGATAATTCGAACAATAAATTTACTTAAAAAAACAAACGATAAATTGTATAATAGAAGCATAAAGCTCTAGAATCGTCGTTTACTCCACATTTAATTGTGGTATTTCTGTTGTCAGTCTGGAAGGTCTCTTCAAACTTGACGTGAACATTTCATCACAAACAAGTGTTTTAATACTCTGACACATGGACTACATCGAATTTCTCTTTTGTAAATTATTTAACTTTTAGATTTTGTTCGTATTTATGATGTACAACAGGAGTTACATGCAGCATAGCCTGTGCACATCCTGTATTACCCTGTACTACAGTCTGTGAAAACTCCCGCGATTGCTTGTCGAGCTACTCAGATCTGAGTAGTAGACTGTCATTGGCTAAAGATAATTAAATTATTTTGATTGCCTACGATTGGTTAATTTCTCATCACTAGTAAAACCTGTTTTTCCAATCAATATAAAATTAATAAGACCAC